TTTAGGTCTTCTTTAATTTCTTTCAGTAATGTTATGTAGTTTTCAGTGTGCTAGTCTTTCACCTTCTTAGTTAAATTTATTCCTAGATATTTTATTCAAAAGTGAGATTATTAAAATAAAATATTTTAGGTATGCAAAGAAATACAATGAGCACTTGTGTAATCACTACCCGGCTTAAGGAATAAAGGTTAACAAATAGTTAGAACCTCTCTGAAAGCACTGTTTTCGCCCTCGAAATAACTGCCCTTTAAATATAATGTTTATCATTTCCTTACATGATATGGTTGGCAGACTAATAGCACCCCAAAGATATCCATGTCCTAGTCCTCAGAACCTATGAGTGTGTTATCTTATGTGGCAAATGAGTCTTTGCATATGTGATTAAGTTACAGATCTTGAAATGGTGAGATTATCTTTGATTATCTGATGGGTCCAATATAGTCAACAAAGGTCCTTATAAGAGGGAGGCTGGACCTCTTGTACATACATTCCTCCAAGGGCCAGATAAGCCCCAGTGTCTTCAGCTTTTAGGACCTAGAGATATCTCAATAAGTCCAGTACCCATCCGGCACCCTACATAATCTTTATAACATTATTGATTATATTCCCCTCTAATCATTATGTTGGTTTGTACACCGGAAACTAATATAAAAGTAAAATTGAATTAAATTAGAGATATCGCTAAGGTCCTGGGACACATTTCTCCTTGAAATGTAAATTATTAGGGACCTTTCTGACACCTTGGGAACTTGATACAGGGGACAAATGCATACTATAAACATTTAATCTTCTTGGGGAGACAATAGAAGTTAAATTATCCTTTTGAATCAGAGAAATTAACTAGACAAATGGCTATCAGTCTAATCCTCATAGTATGTGGAAAGTAACATGTTTGTAGAGGAAGTGGAGGCAAATCATTACTTTTATATCATATAGACTTCTGTGTCTCCAGAGGCTGGAGCTTTTTACAGAAGCACTGAGAAATCCAGGAGAGGTTTATTTCCTCAAATTGATTTCTCAACAGCTGAGAGGTTTGATATAATCTTTCATTATGACTGTGGATTTTTCAATTTCTCCTTGTATCTTCATGGCTATGTTATTAGGTGCTTATACATTTAGAATTGTTATATATCTCTAGTGAATTGTTTGAATTGTTTTAACTATCATGTAGTGACCCTCTTTATTAGATAAGCTTTAAAAATCCACCTAAAATATTATACTGAACAAGATGAACACAAATGAAAGGAAGTATGATAGCTATATTAATACCACAAGTAAAAACATTAAAGCAAAAGCATTATTAAGGATAACATTTATCTTCTAACTACTGAATTTTGTTAAATTTATAGTTACTAGATATACTTGGATTCATTTTTCTCATTTTATACTATTTATCCTTATTTTTATATGCTTTCTGACATCTCCTTTCCTGCTTTTTTGTTGAGTTTTAAGATCTACCCCCTTTTCCCATTTTCATGTTTTAAGAGATACAAATTCTATTTCTACCACTTTAGTTGGTTTCTCTTAAATATTTTCAACATGTACATTTACCTTAATAAAGCTTAAAGTGAATGAATAGCTACGAGTTTGGACAATTGAGTTCTCGAAATCATCATAGAAAAGGTGCTACATACCTCATTGCTGAGTATCACTACAGTCACCTTCAAAGTACTTCCCTTGGGAAGCTATGCACCAACACCAGTGCCTAGTCCACCCTTCAAAGCAATTTTGGAACTCTTTTTCTGGAATGGCCATCAGAGCTATCATTGTATTACCCTCGATGTCCTGAATGTCATCAAAATGTCTTCCTTTCAATATTTCCTTTATCTTTGGGTAAAGAAAGAAGTCATTGGGGGCCAGATCAGGCGAGAAGGGAGGGTGTTCCAATACAGTTATTTGTTGACTGGCTAAAAACTCCCTCACAGACAGTGCCGTGTGAGCTGGTGTATTGTCATGATGCAAGAGCCATGAATTGTTGGCGAACAGTTCAGGTTGTCTATCTTTTTCATGCAGCCTTTTCAGCACTTCCAAATAGTAAACTTGATTAACTGTGTGTCCAGTTGGTACAAATTCATAATGAATAATCCCTCTGATTTCAAAAAAGGTCAGCAACATCGGTGCAACAAGTTCACGAACTTAATTGTCAGACCTCATATATTTTCTGAATAATTACCAGAATTCAAAACATTTTTATTCTGATTACTCTCTTTAGAGTTAGAATACGCATGTTAGTACTATCTACTGTTTTTTTCCACATTCATCATCATCATTTTACTTTTTTAATAAAGTTAATGGCTTTACCCCTATAGTTATTATTTTCTTTGGCTATCATTACTATTTTCATCTCACTCCTTTCTTCTGATTCCAGTGGCCTTTAGAAGCTCTTTTGTGAAGGGTCTATTGGAGAGGCACACTCTCTCAATCTTTGTCTTAAAACATTTTTACTTGATGCTCATCCTTAAGTTATAGTTTACTTCCATGTGGTATCTGAGATTTATTAGTATTTTCTGCTGATTTTCCCTTCTGTGGTTGCTAAATGACATTCTTTAGGAGGTAAGTTTCTCTGGTTGCATTTAAGATTTTCCTTTGATTATGCCCTTTTGCAATTTCACTACAATGCCATGGTATCTTTTGATTTTCCTCTGCTTCTTGAATCTGAGACTTTTTTTTTTTTTTAGCTGAGCCATCCTGCTACCTGTTGGCAGCTCAGCGGCTGCTCAGCTCGGGCTGGACTCGAACTGCTGTTGCTCAGAGCTCACACTCTTGAGCGAGCTCTTAACCAACTGAGCCACTCGGCCGGCCCTTGAATCTGAGACTTTTGTGCTTCTTGAACCTGATAATTTTGTTGCTTTTTATCAGTTTTAGAACATTTTTATCTGTGGGATTTTTGAATTTAGCTTTGATTCCATTTTCTCTTTTTTCTACTTTGGGAAATTCTATAAAGATATACAGAATGTTAGACCCTTTCATGTTATAAAAATGTATCTCTTAAACTTCTTTGTATAGTCATGTCTTTATCTCTTTATACCTTATCATTTATAATTTCTTCCAATATATATTTCAGTTTGTTAATTCTCTTATCAGTTAGGTTTCATTTGCTGTTTAATCCATTGAGTTTTTAATTTCAATCATTATATTTTTAATTTCCATGAATTTTATTTTGTTCCTTTATAAATCTGCCAAGCCCTTTTTCAACAACAGCTTTTCTCAATTTAATTTTCTTTCTATGTCTTTATCAGCTTAATGTTTTTATAATTACTATCTGGCAATTTTATTGTAAGGTTATTGTTTTTCTGTTGTTGAATGTTGCTGGGTTTTTTCCTTCATGTGTTTTGTAATTTTTATTGAATGGTCATTTTGTTGGGGTTTAATCCATGGAAATCCTGTAAGGCCTAATTTGAGGATGTGTCTCTTTAGAGAAAGTGGTATTTATTTCTGCCAAATGTCTCAGAGTTACTACCAACTCGGAAGCTGTTTGCTTCAAGTGTATCAAATCCAATTACTATGGTAATAAATTCAAATTGGATTCCACAAATAATTAAAATTCAAATGCCAATCCACATGATAGCTGGTTTTGGTTACAAATTCTTTGGGAAATTATTTTTATTTTTATTTGTTTAGTTGAGCCATCCTGCCACCTGTTGGCAGCAGCTCAGCTCAGGCCAGGAATCGAACCGCTGTTGCTCAGAGCTCGCACTCTTGAGCGAGCTCTTAACCAACTGAGCCACTCGGCCGGCCCTTGGGAAATTATTTTTTCATACAAGGCTAGGTATCTTAACTTTTCTCGTGCCAGTAGGTAGGCTTTTTCTTTGTTGTTTTTTTTTTAATCTCTTTCTTAATTCTGGATTTCTCTCTCTCTCTCTCTTTCTCTTTCTCTTTCTCTCTCTAACTCAGTTATGACTACCAGCTTCAAACATGCCTAGTGACTTTTTCTGCCTCTGCATGGCCAGTAAAACCTGAACCTATTTGTTATGAAATGCAGCAACCATCCCCACTACCTCCCCATCTGGATCAACTAAAACATGAACACCTTATTTATATGAGTCTGGGTTTACACGGATTTGGACCCTGGCTATTTTCCTTACTTTCCTGAAATTTCAGTTATGTTTTTTAAAAATACATTTGTTTTAGAGAGGAGAAAAGTGGTAGCCAGAGACTTGGGGTGGGAGGAATAGGGAGAAATTGGTAAAAAGGCACAAACTTTTAGCTATAAGATGAATAAGGTCTGAGGATCTGATGTATAACATGGGACTATAGTTGATAACACTGTGTTGTATAATTGAAATTTACCAAGAGAGTAGAACTTAAATGTTCTCTCTCTCAGTCTCTCTCTCTCTCTCTCGCCCTCTCTCTCTCTCTCTCTCTCTCTCTCTCTCTCTCTCACACACACACACACACACACACACACACAATAAATATGTGACATATGAGTTAATTAGATGGGGGGAGTCCTTTCACAATGTATATGTATATCAAATCACCAAAATATACACTTTAAATCTTACAATACATGTCAATTATACCTTGATAAAGCTGAAATTTTAAAAATTAAAGAAATATTTTGCAAACGTTTGTTTTAGCATTTACTGATGTTTTATATCAAGAAGATTTCCAGGTTTTCTAGTCTACTATGTTTTCTAGAAATAGAAGCCACAGTGGGTTTATTGATCTTCCCAGGAATCCTGTAACCTTAGAAAGAATCCAGTTCAGTTCAGCAAACAATTATTGAGTGTCTTCTATGTACCTATCTTTTTTTCCATTCTTCCACAACTATCAATTAAAAAGATCACATTATATCAAAGGCATCAACAATTAAATTATATAGTACTTTAGATAAAATTCCTATTTTCAAACAAAATTCCGGCACTTAAACCACTGCTTCTACAATGTATGGATTACATTGTCATTATTCATAGAAAAAAAGAAAAAAGGAAGTAGTGGAAGAGTTACATCAGGATTCACAGTTTTCAAAATTGCGTATTTCTTTTCTTTGTGTTTAGATTTTCTTCTACCTCAGTTTAAGAGATGTGGTAATATGTGGTCAAGTTTGTCACTCCTGGATGTTGATGATACAAACGAGCTCTTTGTGGAATGGGGTAAGTAGACACTAACTCCCTGAAGCTATGTCTTCACCATCATGTGCTACTGAACAATGGGGGTATGTTCTGAGAAATGTGTGGTTGGGTGATTTTGTTGTTTTGTGCAACCTCATAGAGTGCACCTACACAAACCTAGATGGTATAGTCTACTATAGACCTGTGCTCTGTGTTGTAGCCCATTGCTCCTAGGCTAGAAACCTATACAGCATGTTACCATAGAAAATGACATGAAATTAAATCAAGCACAAGAGAAAATGAAGCAATCAAGAGATGTGGTAAACACGAGATGTTTACCACATGAGGCTGCTGCTGACATAACATGGCATACTGTTTTGCAACAAACTTTTTTTTTATAAGTAGAAAAGAGCACACCCTAAAATAATGATAAAAAGTATAGTGCAGTAAATACATAAACCAGTAACAAGTCATTTATTATCAAGTATTAGGTACTGTATATAATTATACATGCTAATGCTATACTTCTATATGACTGGCAGTGCCGTAGGTTTGTTTATACCAGCAGCATCACAAACACGAGTCATGAGTTGTGCTAAGATGTTACAATGGCTACGACATCACTAGGTGATAGGAATTTTTCAGCTCCATTATAATCTTATGGGATCATCTTTGTGTATGTGGTCTATCATTGACCAATACATCATCACACAGTGCATGACTTTATTTCAGTTCTTAAAGGATAACAGTCTGCTATTAATATTAAGCCAAATATAGTAATGACTACCATCTTCCCTGCGCCCCACTCTGTGGCCACCAAGAGCAGGTGCACTTGTTTCTCTTTTGTGCAGGCACAAGCCTGAAGGATGAGATAAAAAGATAATGTCATTTTAACAGATAAGTTATTGGTATTTTCTTATTTAAATAATAGAAATAAATTGAGTATTATTTTTGTATTGAAACAAAACTCCATTGTATCTGTTAGTTTTACCAGTGCCTAACTCAGGATGCTGCAGAGATAAATTGAGAAAATACAAATAAAGTCCTGAGTGTACAGTCTGTATGTAAGCAGCAGGCAATAAATACTGGCTACTATTATTAGTTCAAAAAACATAATAAAGCAGCCCAAAATATGGAGTAAAGGAAAAAACAACTGAGCATGAAATAGGGCTAAAATTCACAACACGTAAACAAAGCTTGTTTGATAATCTTCGTGTGTTTGCATGCACATGGACACACGTATAGTTAGGCATTTTCTCATATGAACTTCTAGGCTGGTACCTCTGTACTATTCTTGTCATTAGATTAGTTTGGTACTATTCTTGTAACCTAGAACTTGCCTGTTTCTCTCATTCCAAAGAGACACTGGGGAGGGGTCTCAGCCAACAACAAAAAATAAGCATGTATTATTCCCGACGACTTATCTTTTCTGTTTCATGGATGATACTTTAATCTCAACTACTACTATTTATGCCATCAGCCAATGTTGCAGTGGCAACATTTTCCCTGTTGCCTGAAGTCGAGTTACTAGCTTACTTTACCACCGCTTCTTAAGTGCTGATAATTGGAGGACCCATGATATCACATGCTCAGACTCGCCTATGAACAGATGGCCAGAGCCATTCTGCAGAAACCCTAAAACGTACACAAAGAAATTCAGAGGAGTTGACAAGGTGCCAGGGGCTCTAGCTCTATAAGTCAGCTCAACACCTTTACATCCCATCAGAGCACTGTCCCATTGCTTGGCTGTACTGTTTTCCTCTCATTTTGTGCAACAATAGCAAGAAGAAAATGTGCTTCTGTCTCAGCTAACCCATCTTAACTAACACGTTAAGCATTCCTGTCTTAAATTTATTTTTACTTTAAGGCAGTCATTCTTAAACTTTAGCATGTATCAGAATCATCTGAAGGGATTGTTAAAATAGATTGCTGGTTGCCACCCCCAGAGTGTCTGACTCAGTGAGTCTGGGTTGGGGCTTGAGAATTTGCATTCCCACAAGTCCCAGAATGTTCCTGATGCTGCTGGTCCCAGGACCACACTTTGAGAATCACTGGTTTAAGTAAGAAATCTCTTACTCATGTGACAGATTGGGGATGTTACCTTTTTTCTTCGGAGAACCCATAAAGAAGAAAAATAAATAAATCCAAATAATCTGGATAAGAAAGAATATGTACAATATTAAGATCAGGACAAATCCTGCAGATGCCTGACAGAAAAAGCCAGCACTTCTGCCCAGAGACCTCCCTGGGTAAAGACGGAGAATATGTGAGCACATGGCCTTGAAGAGCAAAGCTAGGAGAGGAAGTTAAATCTCTGTGTTTAGCACTTCTCTTTCCACAATTCTATGTTGCCCCTCATCTTCAATTATTTTTGCCTTTCTTTGTGAATGCTCAAATGTGGCACAAATATAACACATTTTTGCACAAAGAATTGCTTTATTTAGAAGACAAAGAAATTGGATGTTCATAAACTTACCATTTCTGCTGAAAAATATTAATACTATTTTATCAATGTTATTGTTTATTAACCAGCCCTGGCCACTCAGCTCTCACATAAACCTCTGTGCGCTTCACGTTTATATATAATCAGCCAGGTACACTGAGGTCATCCTTCCTTTTCTCTAAAATTACCTCTTCCCAATTATAAATTATGTAAAGGCCATTGTAAACCATGCACTTTAAATTGTCTTTCCCATATTCAAGGATTCAATATATATTCTGTGCTCATAAAACAAGAAGCAGAAACACATTAATGATCAACAAAGCTGCATTGACATGGAAGCCTTGGGGCTCACCTGGGATGATGGGGGGCATACAGGCCACTTCAAGACAATTGACCAGGTTGGGGTGGGGTGGATGTGAGCCCCCCACTCTCACGGCTGTCGACCTGGACTGGACATTTTGAATCTGTTTGTAATTAAGTCCAGGAATGACCACAAAAAAGAAAATCTGTTCATAATTAAAATTGGGACTAACCATGAAAAACAACAATGCGCCCCCCCCAACTGAATGATGTGATAAATTTTAGTCCTTGATGCTTTAAAAATATTTTTAAAAATTTACATGCAAAAGATCTTTTCATTTCTTAATGTCTTTTGTTTTCCCTTTTTAGATTGATTTTTCCTCAGTAAAAGATATGATCACAGATAAATACATAGTGTCTACTTTGCAAAGGTGGCGGCTAAATGTGCTGCGCTTGAATTTTCATGGTTGTCTTCTCCGATTGAAAACTTTGAAATCTGTCAGTAAGTATGTTAATTACAACTGTTTGTCCTGCTGTCCTGTATTTTAATTAAACAAATACGAAGAAAAGTAAAAATAGAACGGAAACTTCAGTTACAGTTTTAGGTCATAAGAATGCCAATTAAAATCATCCCTAAAGCTTATAATATAGTCAGCTCTTACTGGATTGTATACCCTGGGAGCTGGTTCTTTGTTCATTCTAATTGATGACTTTTTTTTTTGGTCTAGTATTTGTCTATCTATATATCATCAATTTATTTCCTAAAAAATACAACATAAGGTCATATTCTGATTTTTAAAGTTCTAATGATACACAGTAAAAGCAAAAACCTCCCTTTGTCTTCCTCAAACTCATTCACTTACTCAAAGGTACTCAATATTATCAGTTTTATAGCTGTTTTTCTAAAATATATTTACATATATGTAATTTAAAATACACTATTAAAATTTTCAACATGAAAGGGACCATATTGCTTTATATTTTCTTTTATATCTTGGAATTCTTTCCATGTCAGTACATATAGATCTACTAAATTATTTTTAAATACTTAAAATTATTTTCCATAGTATGGATATACCATAATGCCTTTAACTTTCTTTCTGCTGATGGACATTGATTGAAGTTATTTCCAATTTTTTCCAAACTGCTTTGTACTTTCATTGTGATATTTGTTTTTAACTGTCTTAGTTATAATAAAGTTTCATAGACTTGGTGGCTTATAAACAACAGAAACATATTTCTCCCAGTTCTGGAGGCTGGAAGTTTGAGATCAGGATGCCAGCGTGGTCAGCTTCAGGTGAGGGCCCTCTTCACAGTTGCAGACAGCCTTCTTGTTATATCCTTGGCTGGCAGAGAGAGGGTGAAAGAGCTCTTTGGATTTCCTTGTCTAAGGGCACTAATCCTGTTCATAAGAGCTCCACCCTCATGGCCTAATTACTTCTCAAAGGTCCCACCTCCTAATACCGTCACTTTGGGGGTTAGGATTTCAACATATGGATTTTGGGGGGACAAAAACATTCAGTTCATTGCATTAACCCATATATCCTTTGTGGGTGCATCTTATGAGGTGCATGTTATACTATCCAAACATATTTTTGGAAATGAGAGGAAAAAATTTCAGAAAGTATACATCCATATTGATTTCACATGATCAGAAAAAATGCCCTAAACATATGTAAATATCAACATAAATAAGTCTAAAGATATTAATGGTAAAAGCAAGTTACAGAATGGTATATATAATCTAATACCATCTGCACACAATTTATCAATGTGCAAAATAATAATACTTTGTATTTTGGAAAAACTTTAATAATATGCATATTTAAACACACACACACACACACACACACACACACACACAGCAAAATATAACAAGCATGTATGGGAATGAAAAACTCCAAATGCAAGACAGGGGTTACCTCTGAGTTGGAGAGATTTGAATGAAATGCTGAACAGGCTCTAAAGGAGTTTCAACTTTATCTGTATTTTTTAATTGAAAAAATAAATAAAATGTACAAAATGGATTAATTCTGATTGGTTATTCTGGTGCTGACAATAGATATCTAATCACATATTAAACTCTCTTCTGGATTTTATTGGTTTGTCAGTTGATCCTTTTGGGTTTTCTAGGTAGACTGTCATATCATCTAGAAATATTAATAGTTTTATTTTCATTCATTTCTATTCTTATATCTTTTATTCCTTGTTTTCAATAGCAGCGATATGCAGCCATATTGTCTTATTCTTGACTCTTATTTTTCATATTTTTAATGAGAATAGTGTTAATATTATTACATTTTAATTTCTCAGATACACTTATAAGAGATATAATGTTTCCACTTTTACAGCAGTCATCTTCTGCACATCATTCATTCAATCTGGTCATGTCTGCTTTTAGATTTTTAGGAACCGTTAATTTCTAATCCACCAACACCTTTCCTGCTTTGTTTTCCCAGGATATTATAGATTTTTGAAAAAAAATTATTTTTTGGAATTTGGGCAGGAGAAGAAAGTTGAAACATGTGCTTAGTCTGCCATCTTGAAACAATTTATTACTATTTTAGTAATAAGAGTAAGCAACATAATTATAAACCTTAATGTGTTAGCCACCAAAACACTATCTCTGTCTCTCCCTCCATACACACACACACACACACATACATATAGAAAAAATATGTAGAAAATATACTACTAAATAAATCTATGTTGTTTAGAAGAAAAAATAGACTCAAGATGCAACATTCGAGATTTTAGTTTGACATAACATTTTCATGATAGCAATGGTGGTTGAACAGTGAAATGAGTTTCTAAGGAATGGCAGGGCTTGTATCTCTGGAAACTTCAATTAATTTATTAATTGAGATAAAATTCACACAATTAAAAATTTTTAATTTTAACTATTTAAAGAGTACAATTCAGTTTTTATTATATTCACAATGTTGTACAATCACCACTATCTAATTCCTAAACATTTTCATCATCTCATAAACCATATCTATTCTGTCTTTTCTTTCTTTTTTTTTTAACTTGATTGGGGAACAGTGTGTTTTTCCCAGGATCCATCAGTTCCAAGTCAAGTTGTTGTCCTTCGATCTTAGTTGTGGAGGGCGCAGCTCAGCACCAAGTCTAGATGCTGTTTTCTTTCTTTTTTTAAAAAAGATTTTATTGAGGAATTGGGGGAGGGGAACAGTGTTGGTGAATTGGGGAAGGGGACCAGCCAAGTTGTTGTTCTTCAATCTTCGTTGTGGAGGGTGCCAGTCGCCATCTGGCTTCCCGTTGGCAGCTCGTGGCCTCTAAGCTCAAGGTGCTGTGTTCAATCTTAGTTGTGGGTGGGCGTAGCCACCATCCCATGCGGGAGTCAAACCCAGCAGCCTTGTTGTTAAGAGCGCACACTCTATCCACTGAGACATTCAGGCGGCAGCTCAGTTCAAGGTGCTGAGTTCAGTCTTAGTTGTGGGTGGGCATAGCCCACCATCGAACAGGCAATCTTGTTGTTACACCAGCTGAGCCATCCTGCCACCAGTTGGCAGCTCAGCGACAGCTCAGCTTGGGCACAGCATCACTGGCCCATGTGGGAACCGAACAGCTGGCGGCCCTGTTGCTCAGAGCTCACACTCTTAAGCCAACTCTTAACCAACTGAGCCACTCGGCAGGCCCCAGTCGCCGTTTTCAGTCTAGTTGCAGGGCACAGCCCACCATCCCATGTGGGAATCAAACCGGAAACCTTGTTAAGATCACGCACTCTAACTGAGCCATCCGCCCACCCACCAACAGCTCATTGGCAGCTCAGCTCAAGTCGTTGTCTTCAATCTAGTTTCAAAGGGCGCAGCTCACTGGCCCATGTGGGAATTGAACCGGCAACTCTGTTGCTCTGTTGCTCAGAGCTCATGCTCTAACCAACTGAGCCATCTGGCCGCCCATTGGCAGCTAGCAGCTGCTCAGCTCAAGGTGCCATGTTCAATCTTAGTTGCGGGGGTCGCAGCCCACCACCCCATGCAGGAGTCTAACTGGCAACATTGTTGTTAAGAAACACATGCTCTCACCAGATGAGCCATTCCGCCTCCCATTGGCAGCCAGCGGCAGCTCAGCTCAGGCACAGCTCACTGGCCCACGCTCTAATCAACTGAGCCACCTGGCCAGCCCAACTTTTTATTTCTTTACTTGCCTAATTGCTTGGGCTAGAACAGGAATTCAGCAAACTGCGGCTCGTGAGCTGCATCCAAAGAGCCGCATGTGGCTCGTGAGCCACAGTTTGCCGACCCCTGACCTAGAACTTCCCATACAGTCTTGAATAAAAGTGGTGAGAGCAGCCATCCTTGTCTTGCTCCTGATCTCAGTAGGAAAGTTCCCAGTCTCTCACCATTAAGTAAGAATTTAGTGGCAGGTTTTTCTTAGATGTCTTTTATTGGGTTGATGAAGTTTCCTCAAATTACTAGTTGTTTGTTTGTTTTTACCACAAAGGGTGTTGAATACTGTAAAATTCTTTCTCTGCATCAACTGACAACTTTTTAAATTCTAGTAAATATATAGATATTGAATTGATTGATTTTTGTATGTTGAACTGCCCTTGCTTTCTTGGAATCAATCTCACTTGTTCATGGTGTATAATCCTTCTACTAAGTTGCTATATTGTGTTTGCTAATATTTTATTGATGGTTTTTGCATATATATTTAAAAGGAATACCGGTCTGTAGTTTTCCTTTTTTGTGATGTCTTTCTCTGGAATTGTTATCAGGGTAATACTGGCTTCATAGAATGAGTTATGAGGTGTTTTCTCTTATTTTTTGGAAGAGTTTAAAAAGGATCAGTGTCAATGATTATTTAAATGGTTAGCAAAATTTGTCAGTGAAGCCATGTAATCCTAGGTTTTTCTTTGTTGGAGATTTTTGGTTATGATTTAATATCTTTACTTGTTATAGACTTATTCATATTTTGTGTTCTTCTTCAATCAAGTTTGTTACTTTGTGTGTTTCTAGGAATTTGTCAATTTGGTGTAGGTAATCTAATTTCAATAATCAGTTGTTGGGGTTCATAGTATTATTTTTTTTATTAGTTTCACATGTACAAAACAACATAATAACTAGACATTTATATACCTTACAAAGTGATAACCCCAATAAGTCTATTACCCATCTGACACTGTACATAGTTATTGTAATATTATTAGCTGTAGTCCCTATGCTGTACTTTATATCCCCATAACTAATTTTTAATTATAGTTGACATTAAATTTTATTTTATATTAGTTATGGGTGTACAGTATATTGGTTCGACATTTATATAATTTATGAAGTGATCCCCCTGAAAAGTCTAGTACACAATACATAGTTTTAAAAATATTATTGACTATATCATAATATTCTTTTATAATCCATTTTATTCCTGTAAAGCAAATAGTAAAGTGTGCACTTTCGTTTCTGATTTTTGAAATTTTAGCCTTCCCTCTTGTTTTTTTTGGTCAATTTAGCTAAAGGTTTGTCAATTTGTTGATCATTTCAA